AATTAGAGGAAGGAAGTGCATTTTTGTCATGACATGATTATGCATTCAATCATATCACCCCGGAGGGGTTTTGAAGGGTAGGTGTTCGGTGAATAAAATTTTATTCACCGAACACCTACCCTTCAAAACTCCTCCGGGGTGATATGACGAATTAGATGCTATCAAAATGCAATAGGCATAATATATTTAAAAGGAGGAAGTAACAGCAGTCACTTTTCATATATAAAAATGATTTTAAATGGTTCGTCTTCAATCAGGTTTTTTCTTTTCAATTTCATCGAAGCAAGCAAGCGTAAGCTATGAAAGCAATCGAATACCTCTTAGCTGTCCTGGCTTTGAGCGCAACTCTCAATCATCAAGTAAATTGCCAAAATGTTGATTTAACTGCGTGCATATCTGCACAATGGGTTTCATGTGGTATTAGTGTGGGTACGGCCATTTACAATAGGTATCATTCGTGGAGTGATATTGATACCAAGCAAGCTTTCGGCACCACGTGTCATTCACAATTTAAAGGCGGCTTTCATCGTTGGCAGTGGAAATGGAGTGGCAAATTCTGGTGTCCATCATTAAGCACAACCATTATGGGTGAAAGTACACAATGGAAAAGTCGCAATGGGGCTATCGAGCATGCTATCCAAAATTATGTCACAAAAATGACATCAGCTGGTTTGCTCAAAGTGTCTCAACTCAATTCATAATGAATTTCAATGACATCTATTCTCACATATGCTATTTCTTTTCATACAATCTCATTTTATACACTTTTACTCATTGCCTTTTCTTAATAAACTGGACTGTTACTTGTTAACCAAGACGAAGGAAAGTAAAGTTATACAATTATTGTTTGTGCACTTGTGTGTGCATTACCAAACGTTTTTCAAATATGAGTATTGATCATGCTTTCGCACGTGTTTTAATCATGCACTGAGTGACTCTCTCGGACGATTTCATTTGTAAATTCAATGAGCATGGTTGAAAATGAGTAAATTAACTCATAGGCGGCGGAATATATAGGCTGTGCAAGGCCTGAGTCTCTCCCAAAATTACCACTAATTGACTCAGCATCACCCGAATTATGAATTTCAGACGTAGTCGTACGCAAGTTTAGCTTAACTTGATAAAGCGAATTTTATTTTAGTACGAAGATTCAAACCTCTAATGCGTTTATTTCTATGTTGTGATGAAGAAAATCGGAAAAATCAAACAGTAGTAATTTCACTAAATCTCTTGTCATGGTTCATAACGGCACCTTCTGTCTTATCTAAGTAAAGTCGTATGTAATCTAAACGAATCATAGGATTATGTGATCGAAACGTACCAAAACTATATTTGCTATATCCGAGGTTCCGTCTTTTTGTGAAACACGATCTGAAAGGAGTGTTGAAGTGTTTAGGGGTAGAAATTTGGACCCCCCCCCCCCCCACTG